CTTCAGAGACAAATTCACGGACACAACTGCAAAAATAGGAGTTTTGTTTTGGTTTCTGTTATTTTATCTTTTTCTATCTGGTTAGTCTTTCCCTGTATGTGCATGGTTCAGAGACTTCTGTATTTTCACCGAAGGTTAGCCTTGCTTTAATCTCAACATATGTTGTTGTGATAGAAGTGGAATTGTCCACAAAGGAGTGGATTCCAATGATTATTTTTTTTAATGTCTGTGCTGTTTTATTAACCAGTGGACAAACCTACAACACTTATCAAGTCCAATGATGAAAATACTCTTGAGTTGAAGAGTAATACTACAGACCTTTCCAAAGCAGAAAGTGAGGTTGTGAAACTGCCCTGCTGTTCCTTAGTGCAATAAATAATAATAATAATAAAAAAAATTTCTCATATTCAGAAACACTTATTTTTTACCCGGTGCCTTGTTTTGTTCTTAAATTGAACAGATACTTGCTGTATTCATCTGTTGGTTTTGTGATGGGTAATTGCATTACCTTTTGAAAATGGAACGCTGAATCGAGTTATGGCTGGAAAAGGGAAGCTCTGATGTCCTGCCCTTTTTATTTGTGGGTCTGCAGATAAATAGTAGCTGGGGCAGGGGAAGATGCTTCAGCTGAACTGATAATATTGCATTGGCAATTGTGACTGCGGAGAGCTGCTTAGTTTAGGAATAATAATTAGGAATCTTTTTCATTTACCTGTGCTGGAAAATAACGAATAGCTTCCCAGTTCTAGTAAAACTTTGTTGTATAACCTGTGTATTTGTTCACTTGGGGTCTCCTGGGTGTTGGATGCAATAAAACCCGTACGAATGTCTGCGCTGGGTTCGACCAGGAATCCAGATACTCCCATACTGGTGTGCTGGACAGTGCCAGTGGGAGCGATTGAGGAAAAGGAATATGGAACAGGGCAAGTATTGAGTGTCTCTGCCTGAACAGGAGAGAATGGGTTTGGAAACCGACTTGGTACAGATGACCTGAGCTTTGGCGTCTCAAACAGCCCTCGAATAGCTCTTCTTCCGTTAATTCACTTGTGTGTTGAGCACCTTTATAGCCCAGTAGGGACAAGACCCCGAGACCCCGAGTTCTGCAGCAGGATTGCTCTGTATGTAAAGAACACAGGCTTCATTGGGTGCCCCATAGCTCTTATTTTTTTAAGACCTATTGAAGAATTCCCCCTTTTCCACCTTATTTATGCTGGTCATGACTGAACAAACCTTCATCATGTCATCTGGCAAAGCAGAGACGTGTTTAATCTCTTGATTGGAAGTCCTGCCGTAGCTTTGGGATTATCCTTCCTCCTCTGTGCATTTTTCTTTTCGAAGCGAAGGCCATCACAGGAGATTGGGGTGCCCGGGGGGATCTAGAGAGGCAGTTTCCTGCTTTCTGCTTCTGAATTCCTCTCCTCTTTTTGTAATGCACTGGGGTGTGAGAATTTAGGCTGTAATAACTTCAAATTCTCTGTCCAAAGTAATAATAGATACCTGACACCTTACTACTGTGTATATAAAACTGTATTTTTTTTTTTTCACTTGTGTTTCTTCTTTGCCTTTATTGACACTTAACTCACAGACCAAACATTCAGCTTCATTTATTATTTACAAGACTTAACTGTTTTTTTTTCCTGACTGTCTCAAAACATTCACAGCTGTTATCTCACAGCCCTTGTTCTCTGCGCAAAGGCACAGAGAACACCAACCCACACACCCCCGGCGCTCTGCAGGGCCCCCTTCCTCCCCCAAAACTTGTTAGTCCTATTCAGCAATCCCTTTCGATCAGTCGTTTGTTGACAAGAGGCTTTTCTTCCTTACACCAGCATCAGTTTGAGCTTGTAGCAAAAGAATTTTTGAAAGGCTTTTTGGGAACGGGAATGTTGTTCCTGTTGCATCACTTATTTTCCTGCTGCTTAGCACCTTCAGAAGTGGCTGTAAGATACGACTTCAGCCTGTGTAAGCAAAACTAATGAGCCCTTTTCTATGTTTGTGTATTATTGATCTGTCACAGAAGTGAGACTTCCTCAGAGCTCCTGCCTCTCCTTGGCCTTCTAAAAAAAAACTCTCTCATTTCCTTGGCACTGGGGCTGATTTAAGCCAAGTCACACACCAGAACAAACAACGCAGGATTTCCTGAGCCCAACTGAAAAACTTCTGAAAGCCCCTCCAGCTGCGGCGCGGCTTCAGCTGGGGTTATTGAGCAAAACGTTTGCAACACGTGCGCTGTGCTGTCAGTGACCAGCCTCGCACACGCACCTAACGTAGAAGTGCACAAGTATTCCTGAACAGAGGAGTTCAGAGGTGGACACAGCACAGTAGCTGCCAGTTCTACTGGTGAACTTGACTTCTCCGCTAACCCCAGGAGAAAAATGCTTATTTGGAGTCTGTCCTGCCCGCTGCGGTTAAATACATGGGAAGTGAAGAATTTAAGTAATCTCCTTTCAAAGGTCTTTAAACTGTCAAAACACGGCAGAGAAAGGTCAGAAGTGCAAGTTAGAAGTTAAAACGTCCTGTGAGAACCCAGCGTGTTGCAGCGTGACGCCTACCCAGCCGAGTCCTTCAGAGGGTGCTCTTTAGAAACTCATTTCAGTGGTTTTAGTTTTAAAAAAAGGTTGTCACCTGCACCCAGCGACGTGAGCCTCACGTCAGTTTTCCTGGAGCAGTCCTTGAGAAAGCAACCGAAGCACCTGGAGCAGCACGGATGATGCCCAGCCAGAATACCTGTCAGTGCGCCTCCAAAACCCAGCCCCAGTATTTATTGAATTGTGGAGTTCCCGGAGGGAAAAAGATGATGGAGAAAATAAAGCAAGTTCCCTGCTAAGCCATCTAATATATTCTTCATATCCAAAAACCATCAGCTGCAAGGATTAAGTACTGAAGAAAGGAGAGACAGACAGATTTTTGTATTTCTGTATTTCTCTTTGAGTGGTGGGGAAGAGCTACAGGAAAGGAACAGGACACGCTTTGAGCAAAGCATTTTCTGTAAGTGACTGCACGCTGTGGAACCTGGAACAGTTCCTGTTGCCTTTTTCAGGGGTGGAGAAGCAAATGGCAGTAAAAGCTAATTAATCTGTAGAAATCACCTTTAAACATGTGTTCCAAGTGTCTGGGTTCAAGTGACACGTTAAGAGGAGGCTGTAAATTTTAATGTTAGCGAGTTCTACTTCAACTCAAAGCCGCCAGTGCTGCAGTTGAGTCTCATGTCACAACTTCTGACTTGAAAAGTTACAGAAACTTTATCGAAATACACCATAGACTCCCGTGGCACTGTAGGCAGAGGGAAGTGGCAGCTGCAGGGAGCGCAGGAAGGTGACTTGCCTTTGTGGTGCTGGTACGGGGCAGGCAACCAGCTGGATTCTTGAACCACTCGGGGGGGGGAGGGGGGGGGGGAAAGCACTTAGAGAATTAACATGAGATGGTGACAAGGCAGGAGGACAGTCAGGATGCTGACACTCGACTGGCAGCAACTGCACAGCCACTTCAGCCCCCAGGCAACAGTTCCTCGACTCCATGGGTCTGTCTAGCTGAAAGCACGACGTGGGCGACCCGGGCTTTCTTCCCAGCACCAAAACTTGCCTCACAGGGTGTCGGAGGATACCCTGGGCTCTGAATGAGATGGTGACAAGGCAGGAGGACAGTCAGGATGCTGACACTCGACTGGCAGCAACTGCACAGCCACTTCAGCCCCCAGGCAACAGTTCCTCGACTCCATGGGTCTGTCTAGCTGAAAGCACGACGTGGGCGACCCGGGCTTTCTTCCCAGCACCAAAACTTGCCTCACAGGGTGTCGGAGGATACCCTGGGCTCTGAGGTGGATGATAATCATTTTCTCGGAACAGGACAGAACTAAAGTGTTTTCTTCAGAGCCTGTTCATCTTCCCTGGGCTTCACGAGCAGCTATAGTTAAACGGGAGGGAGGCTCATTCACTGTCAGAGGCATGTTTCTGTGGGATTCTCCGCAGCCCACAGCTGATTGTTTATTTACCCTCTCTAGTGTCAGCATGCGGAAGCGCTGTGCCAGAAACTCACCCACGCAGCCACAGCACAGTGTCTCTTCCTACCACATTCATATAAAACCCCACCCCGCTTGATTTGTCACAGATCCTCACTACAAAACCTCCTGCTGCTGGAATGAGGGGTCTTGTTCCTAAGCATCACTGAACACACCAAGAGCAGAGCTGTGACATTTTAGGATGAGCTCTTACTAGTTCATAGGGGGCGACCGCTCCAGCAGGACAACCATCATGCTTGACTTTCCTTTGGTTTAAAGCTAGGGCTGAGTTGGTTTCTAAACAGCTCCAGTGATGTAACCTTGACCTAGCTACATCATCCCAGCATGACTCTTAGGAAGGCCGTACAGAAGGAGCTACCCTTCACCTCTCCCCCTTTTCCTTCCCCAACACACCGGAGCAGAAGCCAGCCTGTCAGCACTGGAAGGCCGCACTTAGCTGTGAGGAGTGACAGACTATTCTGTTCCCTTCCAGATCCTGCCTTCGCATCTCCAACCCCGTGTCCCAATTCTCACGCGACGTAGAACAGAGACGAAGTCAAACCGGAATTCTGGCGCTGCTTTGACAGCCCAGCCTCCCTTCCACCTGGCAGGATCACTGAGGCAGCCCGTAGGACGTCAGCGTGAAAACATCAGCGTAGCAGTTCAACGGCAGCAGGCGCGTATGCTGTGGGTACCAAGCGATGTCAGACGTGAGGTCGGCATCGCCTAAGAGCCATCGTTATACCAAAAACGAGCTCGTTAGGCTTGCAGGCCACAGCAGAACAGTCACGAACACAAGCACGCTTCCATGTATTTTTAAGGCAGTGAGGATTAAAGAAATAGAGGAAGACGCTGCACGCCCTGTGGGATCTCCTTCCCCCACCCCACCACTTTACACCCAGATGTGGAGGCAAGCAGCGGGGGTCACACGGGCAGTAGCGACGAGGAACTGTCGAGGGCAGGAGTGAGCCGCAGCCGCAAAGATCCGCCACGCCGGTGTCGGTTATCGCGACACCGATCTTTGTATCGGCTCCTTCGTTGCCAGGTGCGCAGCTAGGTTCTCTCGGAAGTCGTGGAGGTAATTGTATTGCTGGAAAAGCACAACCAGGTTTGCCATGAGTGCTCTATGCTTTTGGAAAAGGCACTCCCCACCTTAAAAAGCTGTTTGAGAGCCCAGGATGAAAGATGCACCCTCTAGTCCATATATTTGTTTCCTTTGTGCTGACTCCAAATCCCCTGGAATTTTTCACGGTCAGACACAGGCTACACAGACCCTGGCTGGCTCCTGTGGTTCCTCATAAAGGGCACACGTGAGCTCAAGGTAACGGAAAACACAGTCCTTGCTAGGTGGGAGCTCCCCATCAGCATTCAAAGCTGCTTTATTTGGGTCACCAGGAGCACTGCTCTCTCCACGAGATGCAGAACACAGCCTTTAGCTAGTCTGATGGTGTACGAGAGTTTATAGTAAGGGTTCTTAGGTCAGCTCACTCATCATGCGGAGCAGTAATGCACAAGTGTTCAAAATGAGAGAAAAATGTTGCTCAGCAGAGGCTAAAGGACAGATCATCCACCCCAAGGGGCTGTGAGGGCTTCTGATTATAACAGTTGTTCATGTCCTTCCCCACCATCTTCAACCAGGGATGCAACCTGCACCCGTGCTTTGTGGAAAACTGATTTTCAGCAAGTAGTTTAAACATTTGCCTTCCAGAGAGGCTTAGAGCTAGCAGAGAGGCAGCTTTTAGGCAACTCTTCCTCCTCAAACTACTATCTTGTAAACTTTTAAAGTGTCAGCTCCAATTTCCTGTACGTGGAACTGTTTTAAGAGCATAACATCTAGGACTTGTACCAACAGAAATACGTAGAGTAGCTAAGAGTCCCACCAAAAGAAGAAAACCCCATTGTGTTCAGCAACTTAGGCCTCCCTCCGTGTAGGTTTTAACACTAGTGCTAGGGATACTTCTTGACAGAAGACTGCCAGCATACGGATGCGACAGCTGCAGAACATGGACGTGGCTCACTGGGTTAGGAAGATGGAATAAAGCCAAGGCAGAAAACCCAAGCAAAGGTCCAAGTTGTGAGGAGAACGTGAGCAACAGGGATAGGGACAACAGCTCAGCAAGCGATGAGCAGGGCTGGGGAGGAGAAAGCAGCAAGTTACTAACGATGGTGAAGAGCAGGGGTGGGGGGAGAGCAGCTGCCGAATTCAGCAGAGGCAGAACAAGAGGGTTAACTCCACCCCAAGAGAGCAGCAGGAGCACCAGCTGTGGAGCATCTCCGAAAGACAGAGGTCTGTGAAAGGAAGGGGAGGACTGCCCCAGCTCTCCGCTGTCGTTTGGACACGCGCATTACCTGCTGCAGCCTCATTACCTTGATGGTCTGTATCGCCCCCGAGCCCCTCAGGTTTCTGAGGCTGTCTATCACCTGCTGAGGTGCCAGCGCATCCGAGAGCTGAAGCAGGAGACACGCAGCTACTGTAAGGGACAGACACACAGACGTGTGTGCTACTGAGCGCCTCTTGCTGCCCGCAGCACCACTCGCGCACAGGAGTAGGTTTGTGCCACAAAAACCACTCCAGCAGAACTCAGCCTCATCATACCCGGGTCACAGATCTGCCAGGGTTTTGCTGAATACTATTTGTTGGCCCTGTCTGCCTTGCTGCTTCTGCCCAAGCCTGAAGGCTTTGGAAACAGGCAAAAATCCTCCCAGTTCTTTCCCCCCTGCCTTTCTAGCAGCATTTGGGAGGCAAATTCTGAAATCTTTCCAAGAACAAGTCCCAGTACACCCACCCAGTTAACTCCCCTTTGTGTCTTCTGACCGTATTTGCTTTTTTGGCAATATCACCACCCCTTCCTTCCAGGGCACACACAATAACTAATGTCCCTGTAAGCTTATGGGGGGCCATTGGGCTGAAGAAAGATGCAGAGGAATAGGTTAATCTCCTCCTTCTCTCGAGATGTTCAGGGAAGAGGGGAAAGTGCGATCCCATCAGTCAGAAGAGACTGAAATTTGCAGTGAAAATGGCAGAAGAGTCAGAAACAGTGGGAGAACTTTCCATCAGCCTCAGTGGAAGACTGACACTGCCTGACCCTCCACCCCCTCACGTACATACCCAGAGCTATACCACAACATACGTATGGCACTTGTCACCAACAGCTCCTTTACAGGTGTCAGATGGTCATAACGTCACCCAACACCTTTCCAAAGAAACGGGGCCAGACACATTCACGGCTACGTGCAGCGGCAGTTTACGTTGTAGCCACAGTTGGGCTTCCAGCAGAATTTGGCCCCTTTAGACAGTATTATCTCATGAGAACCGTCTCTGGGACGGGTTAGTCAGGCATTCGGAAGGGGAAGGCAACTGCTTACCGAGACAGGAGCGTCCGAGGCCACCGTAACAGCTGAAAGAGAAGAGAACATTTGGCTGTAACAAGCTGTAGTATGCTGCAGCACCCAGAGCCCCCCTTACGTAAGTGTAAGGGCACAATTCTTGCCTTGATACTGCTCAAGAGGAGCAGTGGTACAAGAAAGTTAGCCTTGTAGGTACATTCTACCTCCCATTTATTCTTCAGACCTTCCTTAAGTAGCGTCTTTCTAGAGAAACTGCAATTTTAAGGTTCCCCTCCATTCACGGTCATAGTCCCAAAGGCACAGGAGGACAGAGAAGGGCATGAAAATGGACAATCTCAATTTTCTTTAAACCCCACACCAGCTTCAGGCTTTGATGATAGTTGTGAGCTACTGACAGCAGCAGCGCTCTGCATCAGCA